GTGCCCCCCGGGGTGCGGGGGCGCGCCGGCTGGGAGGGGGCAGTGCCAGAGCTGGCGGGGGCGGCCGGGTTCTCACGGGTCAGTGATGGGCCTCTGCCCCCCGCCAGCCAGGCCCGTGCCTGCTAGACTGCTCGCCCCAGATCCTCTCCAGCTGGAGCCCATGGGCACACCCTGCCGGGCGGTGTCAGCCCTGCCCTACCTCATCCTTACCTGGCTGAGCTGCTCTTCACAGCCCCCCACAAGCCCCCTTCCAGACTCTCAGGCCCAGGGGACCCACCTGGCCTGAGGAGTTTGGGGAGGCAGGGGCTCTAGTCTGCCTGGTCTAGGGACCTTGGCTTGGCAGTGTCCAGAGAGGCAATGGGACCAGAGGAGAGCCCACACCCTTCCCAGCCTGGGTTCTCGGGGTCTGTCCCATCCCGGGTGTTCCTAGTACTCCCAGGCTGGAGGGGAGCCCATGGGAGTGGCTCCCGGGAGGGCGAGGAGGAGAGGAAACGGGAAAGCAGGGCACCTCCACCCGGGGAAGCATCTGCGGGGGTGGTTCCAGAGCTCAGACACAAACAGGCAGATTCAAACACACACAGACAGATTCAGACGCACACAGAAACCCACACGCCCATCGGGTGCTTCCCTTCCCTCGGGCACCCACCTCCCACCCTCCACTCCCCTGCCTCCCCGTGGAAGCCGGGGCTCCCCTCCTGGCCCTGCCTTCACCGGCCCCCAGCCCGTGGAAGGGTTATCTCCTGGATGGCTCCAGCCCAGTCCCCAAGTCACACCCTATCCCTGGAGAGGAGAGCCGCAGAGGCCCGAAGTCTTCCTCCCAAGAGCTTAGAGCAGAGGCAGGACACTTTCACCAGCTGGGAAAAGAGGAGGGGTCTGGGGAGAGGGGTCTAAAGGTCAGGCACCAGGCAGGGCGTGGGCATGTGGGCGTAGGCTCTGCTGGCCCCTGCTCCCGCCAGGGGCCAGCTCCCTGGCTGGGCGGGCTGGTGGGGTTGTTTACATGGCAGAGGTGCTAGCTCCCCTCCTCCTCAGCTCCCCTGGGGGGCAGCCTGGCCCTGCGTGTGCCAGGGGAGATGACGGTAGGGTCTGAGCGGGCCTAGAATCTCAGGCCCCAAGTTCCACTCCCAGATGAGCTCCGGGGGTGACGCTGGTGGCCTGGGGTATTCCTGTGGTCCCCCATCTTGTCCTCTGGCCTCCCTCCTCGGCAGCTGAAGCTTGTGGGAGATTCCTGCGGCTTGGGGCCTGGAAGAACTTGAGTGGGAGCCTGACTGTCCAGCCCTGAGGGCTGTCGCCATCATCCCCCAAAAAAATGGGGACTACCCCAAGGGAGCAGGACAGATGCCACCAGCACCCTGCCCCCACTTGCCCTGTCTGCTTTGTTAGGTCGCTGTCCCGGGACTAGACCAGGGTTCTCAGGACAGGCTCCTGAAATGTCCCTGGGGCTCGTGGGAGTGGGGGCAGGGGCAGCCCCTTGTTGCAACCCCCCACACACACCCCTTCCTGCTTCACGGCCATGCCAAGGCCCCGAGTCCCAGGAGTCAGCTGGTTTGTGCCCGAGGATGGAGCAGGGCGAAGGAGACACACAGGACACAGACACGGAGGGAGGGAAAGCCACACAGTGCGTGGACACAGGCCAGACTTTTGGACACGACCAGCTGACCAGCGCCCCAGGCGTGCGCCCAGCCCCAGCCCCGCCGACCCCTCCGCACGGACACACACGCCGACACACGCTCCTGCAGCGGCTCAGCGGCACTCCGCCAGCTGCCTGCCGTCCCCAGAGCCCCTTACCTGGGCCAGCTCAGTGCCCGCAGGGAGAGCAGCCCCCTGCCCAAGGGAGGGCAGCAGGCGGGGCGGGGAAGGAGCCCCG